ACCCTCTCGACCGGGAGGATCCACGGATCGTACTTCACTGAAAAGATCCGGTTTTTCCACCCCCAGTTGTTCCCGGGCAGCCCTTCGATCGAGCATTTGTCCGCTCGGGATTATATCATCAGAAATCCACCCCCATACGCAGCCGCCAGCACCTTCACTTGGTAGACAAAGTTGAAGAGCTCCATCGTGCAGGCTACGTCGTGCCGACTGCAGATCTGGGGAAAGCACGCGATAATCCGATGCGCGTTCGGGCAAATCTGCCCGGGCATAACCTGGTAGTAGCCCAGGAATGCAGTGAGGAGGCTGGAAAAGGGGAATGTGATCGGGGCCATTAGCGAATCGTAATGCATCCCAATCCATTTCCCCTGATGCCGCTCGATGATATTTCCGAGCTGCCTGCTGGTATCGAACTCGACCCGACCAGCGAGAGTTGCCGCGATTTTGCTGGCTTCTCCCTTTGTCAGCAAGCTCCTCTGGCCTTCGACGCTCTCGCTGTTGAGGAACTCAAACCCGTCCCCGCCCGGCGGCGCCAGCCCGGTCGGGTCCTCTTCATCCGCTTCGGCTTCGTTGGCCCGGTCTCCGCCTTCAGGCTCGGCTCGAGGGTAATCCCCTATTACCCTCGTAGGCGTTTCCCTAACGCCTTCGTCCGGGAGGCTTCGTCCGCTCGTGGACGTTGCCTCGCTCCCCGACCCTCTGGAGCTCGACCCCGAGGTCCCTGACGAACTTGATGACCCTGCTGGCTCGGGGGCTCGGTCGGGAGTGGGCTGTGGTCGTTGTTCGACCTCTGGGGAGTAGGACATGATGTCCACCTCCTCGCTGCTGTGCTCGATTGCGTTGTCGTAGTCTGCGATCGAGGCGTTCTGGCTATCCGAATCCGACATGTTTTCTACCTAAAGGTCGGTCGGGGTTAGTACAGGGTCGGGATGTTAGTTCAAAGTTAGTCCTACCCTACTCCTACACAAAGCTAAAAACAAAGTAAAAAGCTAAGGGATCAAGAGCTTACCGATTGCTGGTACTTTGAAGAGAACTTGAAGCTTGGTTTTGCTCGACTGGTTCGCTGAACTGCTGCTCGGGACTCTCTGAGGGTACCGACTGCTTCAGTGGATTGAGGAAAGTTCAAATGGAGGCCTCAAGGGCCTAGTTATAGGAGGGCATTTAGGCGGGAAACGAGTCCACTTGCTTGACACGACCCGCACTGATTCCGAGGCGACTGTTGCAGTCGCAGAGGCCGGCAGTGGCCGACACGTGGCAAGGAGAGGAATGACAGCTGGCAGGTCGGTTTGGTGGCCAGTGGTTGGGCTTCTTCATCCCGTCCCGTTTTTTCCCGGGCGGTTAAAAAGGCCCGGGCTAGGGGGCTCTTGGTAGGGAATATCCCGACCGACATGGCTTCACCACGACCGAGGCATCTTCGTCTCTTTCTCTTTGTCTTTGCAGGTAACAGGTCGGGCTCCTTGTAGAGAACCCGGTCGGGGTCCGACCGGGAGTTGCCCGAGCGGCAGTGTCAACCACCGAGCGGTAGCCCTTTGGCGAGAGAGCTGATAAAGGACACGTGGCGGCTCTCTACGACGACAGGCAGGGCACCCGGGAGGATGACACGTGGAGGCTACGTGGAGAACATGCCGAACGACCGGATTCTTGTCTCCGGCATAGCGGCTATAAATACCCACAGTAGCCACAGTGTAGGGGACTTTTGGACGATCGATAGGTTGTTGTTAGAGAATCCCGACCGCAGTCAGTCGGTACTCAGAGCAACCAAGTAGATTGTACTTAGGGCCTCTACCGTGATCAATAAAGACATTTACTTGCTTTAATTGGTCTCGAGTTATTCCATATTGCTTACGTATAATTAGCAGTATCAATAGGGGATAATGTAAGAGTGATTAGGAAAGAGAAGATGAGAGGGGAGAGAAAAAAAATAAAAAAAAAAAAAGAAAATTAAATTTTAAAAAAAAATCAGACTGTCAGGCGCCCCGAGAGGCGCGCCTGACGGGCACCGCACGCGCCCGCTGTGCGCACTGGTGATAGCCGCGCGTGGCTGTCACCAGTGGTGGTTTTTGTGGTGGGTCCCACCATTTTTGCATTATCTCTTCATTTGCAGAATAATTCATTTTCAATTATCTCCCCTCCACACTAGTTATTATCTCATGTAGGGAAGAATTAATGCTGAAATCTCCTCACAATATGCACAAGTGTGGATGCTCTTACCTTACATATACAGAGAAAAGGTAGAAAAAATAACAAATCCTAAAACTTTTATTTTAAGTGGTAACAAGGTGCACTGTGAAAAGAAAAAAAAAATCTTTAGAAAGAAAATTTGAAATCTTGGGGTTGATGATTGGATTTCAACTATTTATATTTGAGAAGGAAAAGTCTACAAAAGTCTTAAAATTGAAAAGTCTACAAAAATTCAAAACTTTTTGAATACCACATGACTTTTAAAGACTCTTTAAAAGTCTTAGGGGGTGTATTCAATCCAGACTTTTAAAGAGTTTTAAAGATTTTTAATGACTTTCAAAGTTTGGGAGTATTCAATTTAGACATTTAAACACTCTTTAAAAGTCTACCCGTATTCGATTTAGACTTTTCAAAAGTCTTTAAAAGTATACTGGTATTCGTTTAAGACTTTTATAGAGTCTGTAAAAGTCTACTGTATTCAAATATTTATCAACTTTCATATTAAAAATCTGCTACGAACAGCAGCAAGCTGCTGCTGTTCGCAGTAGATTTTTAATATGCTTAAATTTTGTTGTTGTTTTCATCAGAAATCTTTTATAAATTTTTTTGTTTTCACCTCCATTCCCTTATAAGACTCAAGCAAAACTTGTACTAGCATGTGCAGGCCTTCATAATTTTCTTCGCAAGGAGTGTCGTAGTGATGAGTTTCCAGTTGACCTAAATAAAGATGAATCTGTTTCACCTTTACCAATGAATGATGTAGATAATTTTGAACAACTATTTAAAACTCAAGAACAACAACGAGAACATGCCAATGAATGGAGGGCTAAAATAGCTTTGGATATGTGGAGAGATACCCAACAAGGTGAAATAAATTCCAATCAAAGATAATTGTACTAACAAGATGAATATTTTAATTTGTAATTTTTCATTTTATTTTTGTGACAATCAATTTTTTTTTTTTTTTGCAATGCATTAGTTTATTTATGGTTTATAAAAATATATTTTTGTAAGAAAATTATAAATAATGTATTAATAAAAGTTATGAAATGTTTGTAAGGGTGTATTCAATTTAGAGTTTTAATGACTTTTTGTAGACTTTTTAATATGAAAAAAAGTTTTTAAAAGTCTATAAATGTTTGTCCTATGGATTTTTAAAGACTCTTACAAAGTTGATGAAAGTTTAAAAGTTTAAAAGTTTAAAAGTTGTTAATTACTGCACTCGTGGTATTTACACTATCAGTCATGATTGAATACACCCCTAATATGGTATGGCATAAGTGAACATCGCGTTTAAGCCAAAACCAACTACGTTCATAATTTGAGCAACTCAAACCGGACAAATTAATGTATGTTTCTGTACGTTCATTAAAATACATACGTGTTATTAATTACTTTACCTTAACAGCATAAATTAATCAATGAAAAACATAAAATACAAGCTTTATATAGTATCTTCCCCTATTGAACGTGATTGATTAACTTTATATAAACTCTCAAGTTTAAAATATTTTAATAAAATATATTTTATAAAATAATATGTCAAATTTAATTCAATTATCAAATATTAGGAGTGATGATACCCTAGAAGAATGATATACTAACTAAATTGAGTAGGGGGATCAGACCATCGTTATACCATTGATCAACACGAGTTTCTTACATTTTTGGTGTCACGATTATTGTGTCACTAACAACTTTGATCAACGACTTCTAAAATTTGTAGAATTAGCTCACGACTATGACTTTCTACTCCACATTTTAACATGGGTAATATTGTCTTTTCCATTTCACAAACTAATGACTAAATAAATAAATAAATAAACACAACCAGTGGTACGGTGAGGGCGAAGCTGAAAGTGGAATTTGAATTGAGTGATTTTTAATTTCAATCTTTGGATGTGTTTATTTATTTATTTATTTATTTATTTATTTATGTCACTAGCTTGTGAGATGGAAAAGACAATATGTCACCAGATTTGCTAAGAAAGTCATAATCGTGAACCAATTTTACAAATTTTAAAAATCGTGAATCAAAATTGTTAGTAACGATGAGAATTCAAATTGTATTACAGTTACGATAGATTAGATTACACGAGAGTATATCGAAGACTATCTCTAAACACTCCTATCTAATAGGATACAACTTCAGACTAATTCTAGCACCACACACTAACTACCATAGGTTATACAATAATAATAACAAACATTATTAATATTACTCACACACCCCCTCAAGCGGAAGGTTGGTGAGAAACAACATTAAACTTGTCTCGTAGTGCAGTGAACCTCGGACCTGGAAGCGGCTTGGTGAAGATATCAGCGAGCTGGTCCTTGGTTGATATGAAGTTTACCTTGAAGTCCCCTATTGCAGCTTTGTCTCATACGAAATGATAGTCGATCTCAACATGCTTCGTTCTGGCGTGGAAGACTGGATTAGCACACAAATACGTGGCTACTAAGTTATCACACCACAAAGTAGACGGTTGACCAGTATGCAACCCTAGCTCATGTAACAAAGAAACAACCCAAGTAACCTCTGCAGCAACATCGGCTAGGGCTTTATACTCGGCTTCTGTCGATGAGCGGGCCACAGTCCGCTGTTTCCGGGACAGCCAGGAGATAAGATTAGACCCGAGAAAGACAGCATATCCACTTGTGCTTTTCCTGTCAACTGGGCACCCAGCCCAGTCGGAATCGGAATAGGCATGAATAGAAGTAGTGGGTGATGCACTCAGGTGCAGGCCATAGTGTAGAGTCCCCTTAATATACCGCAGAACCTGCTTAACCATTGCCCAGTGATCAGTAGTTAGGGCGTGCATAAACTAACATAGATGATTAATGGAGTAGGATAAATCGGGCCGTGTAATAGTGAGATACTGTAGTGCCCCAACAATGCGTCGATACTGCGTCGGATTATCAAATAGTTCATCAGACGGAGTTGCCGATTGAGCGACCGATGCAGGCGTAGCCAGGGGTTTGCAGTCTACCATCCCAGCCCTAGTCAACAAATCAGTCATGTAGCGACGCTGGGACAGAATCATTCCACCAGTAGTGTCAACAGTTTCAATCCCCAAGAAGAAGCCAGGTTTGCCAAGATCCCGAATTTTAAACACAGTCGCGAGACGATCAAGTAGAGTGTCAAGAAGGGAAGTGTTATTGCTCATCATAATGATTTCATCCACATAGACAAGGACGAAGACCTGCGAGCCCTCTGAAGTGAGGTAGAAGAGGGAGACATCTGTTTTTGACGAAGAAAACCCTGTAGATAGCAAGAAGTCGTGAAGCCGCTTGAACCACGCACGGGGGGCTTGCTTTAAGCCATAGAGAGACCGTTGCAAGTGACAGACACGTTCCGGATGAGTAGGATCTTCGTAGCCCGGTGGTTTCTTCATATACGCAGTTTCAGCTAGGTGGCCATTTAAGAAGGCATTATGAACATCTAGTTGTCGTAGAGTCCATTTGTTTGTGATGGCCAAGGAAAATAGCATACGTACTGTGGTTGGTTTGACGACCGGACTGAATGTGCCGAAGAAGTCTTCACCTGCAACTTGGTTAAACCCCTTTGCTACCAGGCGAGCTTTTTGCCGTTCCACGGAACCATCCACGGTACGCTTAGTGCGAAAAAACCCACTTGCATCCAATAATATTCATGTTAGGATTTGGTGTGACTAGGCGCCAGGTATTATTGTGGAGAAGCGCATTGAACTCCTGGTCCATAGCATCCCTCCAATGGGGGTGTCTAACTGCTTGAGAATAGCATGTTGGATCCGGTGTTGTTGCAGTTAGGGCCTGAAATTCCTCATTATTACCGTGGGTCATGTGTCGTAGTCGCATGACATGTCCCCGGTCCTGAGGTTGCGACCGACCCCGGCCCCGACCCCGACCTCGTCCACGAGCCGCAGGTGCAGGCGGCTCAATGGCTAAAGGAGGTGACTCATGAACTAACGGCTCAGGGTCAGGACTCGGAGTGATAAAAACCGGACTATACCCGGTAGCTTGAACTGGTACTATGGGTCCGGAAGCCCAAGGCACGCACTGTAGCTCATCAGCTTGTGGTAGAGAACCTGTTGCAAAGGGAAAGACAGATTCGTCAAACCGAACATGGCGACAGGTATAAGTTTTCCCACTGATTAGATCCATGCACCTATATCCCCTAAAGGACGGTGGGTAACCTAAGAAGACACATGGAGTGGAACGAAACTCTATTTTATTCCGATTGTACGGTCTTAGATATGGATAAAATTGACACCCGAAGACCTTTAAGAATTGATATGGAGGTAGCTTTTTGTATAGTCGGTAGTAGGGACTTTCGAATTTTAGAGCGGAAGATGGTAGGTAATTGATTAGGCACGTGGCAGTCTCAAAGGCAAAGTCCCAATATTGTTGTGGAACAGACCCTTGAGCAACAAGAGCTAAGCCCGTTTCAACAATATGTCTGTTACGGCGCTCAACTCTCCCATTTTGTTCGTGCGTGTAGGCGCAGGATTGTCGGTGATTAATACCGAGAGTTTCAAAGGTGGTATGCAATTTGCGATATTCACCCCCTAGGTCAGATTGAATAGATTTGATAGAGCGCGAAAACTGTCGCTCTACCAACACACGAAACACATCAAACATTTTATAGATGTCAGATTTTACCCTTAATGGATAAAACCAGCAGAAGCGGGAATAATCATCAACAAACAGCAAAAAGTAACGAAAACCACTAGACGAGATAACTGGGGCAGGCCCCCAAATATCAGTGTAGACTAAATCTAGTACATTTTCGCTAGATTGCACTACTCTATTTAATGGAAAACGACAAGACTTGCCAAGATGACAAGCAGTACATGACCCTAAAGTGGCATTATTTTGCTGAACCGAACAATGTTTAAGAATTTTATTCTGGACAAAGCTGTGTGGATGACCGGGCCTGCGATGCCAAACTATTGGCGTAGCACGGGAACTGACGAACGCAAAATGACTCTGGGACACAGGTAACTTGTACAGGCCTCCAGAGGTAGGACCTTTAAGGAGCACCGCCTTGGTGTTGGAATCCTTCACAATGAAACAATTATCGTGAAATTCAAAAAATACACTGTTTTCAGTGGCAAATTTCTGGACAGATAATAATGGAACAGTTAAATTAGGGACATGTAACACATTAGACAGAAACAGTGAGAGGATCGATTGATCCTGTTGAACCCAGAGTTTGTACACCGGGTTTGGAGTCGACATCACCGTCGTCGCATCGGAGCCGGAGTCACCGTCGGTGGTGCTAAGAGTGGCCGCCGGACATGGGTGAGTGCCGTCGATGAAGCCGATCAAGTCCTGCCCCCGTAAGAACGGGATGATTTGCGTCTTCCAGAACAAGAAATTCCGCGACGTGAGCTTCATGGAGATGAAGTGATGTGCGCCGACCAATGGGTTTGAACCGGCCGGGGAAGAGCCACCAGCGGTAGGCGGAGTTCTTTGAGACGAGTTGGACGACATCGATGATCGGAAGGTGGTGGTTCGTTTTAGGTGGAGAGAGAAGAGAAAACGGATCGATTAGGCTGATACCAGATGAGAATTCAAATTGTATTACAGTTACGATAGATTAGATTACACGAGAGTATATCGAAGACTACCTCTAAACAATCCTATCTAATAGGATACAACTTCACACTAATTCTAGCACCACACACTAACTATCATAGGTTATACAATAATAATAACAACCATTATTAATATTACTCACAGTAACACTATTGTCGTGGGATCAAAGTGCAAAAAACTCTCAATCACGAATATCATGATATACACCTAACATATTATGTATTTTCAGTTAACAAATTTTGTATATTTAGTTATAATAATTGAATATACATAGGCTGAAAGCTTGGAGAGACTATCCGCCATAGTCATAACGAATGAGGATGAGGACAATGACACCTTTGGTTGGATGTATGAACTGAGGCTTAACAGATATGGTCCAAGCTGCCAAATGGAACAACTTATGGAAATTAAAGGTTCCAAACAAGGTTTGTACTTTCATCTGGTTGGTGTTTCATGGTAAAATACTCACTAATAGTAACAGAGTCAAGCGTGGCATCGCAAGCTGCGACAAGTGTTCTCTAAGCTGCGACAAGTGTTCTCTATGTGTGACCGAAGTGGAAGACACCCAGCATGTACTTCGCAATTGTCCAGTAGCAATCGAGGTTTTGAAGCGAGTCATTCCAACTTTTTCAGCGACTTCACACCTTCCCTTCAATGAATGGCTTCTTTAGTCGGGCATCAAAGGCAGCCACATTGGCAACCATCCTTGCAATGAAGGAGCTCTTTTTGCTATCACCCTATGGTGGATTTGGAGGTGGAGGAACGATAGGATCTTTAACAATCTGGAGAAATCTGCAAACTTCAAGGTTGCATGGATTAAATTTCAAGTTGAACAAGCCGCCAAGGCCTTTGCAGGATCCAAGACTTCTCGAGATGTCGCTTTTTGGAACTCATGGTCGAACTTTCGTTGGTCAACACCACCTGAAGGCACGGTGAAGATAAACCTAGACGGCTCTGTAGATACCCATAATGGCAAGGCAGGGTGCGGCGGTGCAATCAGAGACAGCGAAGGTCGCTGGGTGGCAGGTTTTTTGTATAGCATTGGTTGTTGCTCACCACCCAGGCCTACAACAATGTGATCCGTAACCTTTTTGTTGGCTTGCGTGCGCGAAATAAGCACAATCAATATATGGAGGTTGTCGCTAGCAGTCCGTGAACAGAATCGCTTAGCCGACGCCATAGCACGTAGAGCCAAGTACTTCCCTAAATGTCTGCATATCCTATATAATCCACCGGACGAGATTTTGAACGTTCTTCATGATGATTTAGATGGCATCTTCATGTGGCGCCAATAGCTAGTTTTGTTCTCTTGGGTATCCCCTCCTTATAGATAAAAAAAAAAAAAAAAAAAAATAAAAAAAAAAAAAAAAATTGAATGTACATAATTAAGAATTTACATCCTTGATTTACGATACAATTTACCTTTTATCAGGCAAACTAGTTTTTTACGCACATTGCGCGATTGAGATAATGCCCAATGTTTTTCTTAAATAAGTATTTTAAAGTATATCGAGACAAGATTATATTGGAATTGTTCATGCATAGATAATTGAATGTTGAATTTGTGTATTTAAATTTGTAATTCTAAGTTTACAAATGCAAGATAATATAGTCTAGATTGATTATAATTGTCAATAAAATATTTGTATGAGTACGGTTTCAAATACGGGACATAATAAGGGGGAGCAAATAAAAATTAAAGCATAAAATATTAAATATATACTAATATTGTTTGAGGAGATTCCGGTAGTAGAATTTGTGGTTAGAGTTCTATTAAGACTTTAATATTAGAATTAGACTAATGGTGAATTAACGGTACTTAATGAAAAAGTTAACGGATCAGATAAATTAGGAAATCTCAAGGAAAAATTAAAATCTAAAACAATCTGAACTATTCATTTGATTTAATAATTTGATGGTCATTTTTCTACCCAATGTTTATAATTAATAAATATTTGAAAGTATATCAATGCAAGATTATATATGAGAAGTTAAACATAAATAATTTAATGTCTAATTTGTTTATTTAAATATGTAATTCATAGTATATGAATACAATGTAATATAGGAGATTCATTATAATTGTTACTAAACTTTTTTTAAATAATAATAACCAAATATTTTTGTTGCAAAAGGTTTTAATATATTTAATGAATGCACATATATACAAGATCAATGAATGAATCAACGATACCAATCCTTTAGATGTTTTGCTCAGTGTTCATTTAGTTCAACCATTATTGTTGAATAAATTATTATGGATAAAGAAATTCCTAATTTAAGGAATTTAGTTGTAGTAAAAATTTAAAAATTTTAATTATAATGTAACCCAAAGATATTGGACGATTGGTAAATATGATGTAACCTAAAGATCAAAATGCTAAAGAAAGTGATTTGGTTATTCAACCATTTGAAGCAACAATTTGTTCCAAATCACTGAAAATACAAAGATTGCAAGTTGTAATATTTTCACTTAGCGTTTTTGAGAATTATTTCCCTAAAACACATCTATATTTAAAAAAAAAATTATCATTAAAACAATTATTATTATTATTATTATTATTATTATTATTATTATTATTATTATTATTATTATTATTATTATTATTATTATTATACCCTTAGGTCATTTTAAATTTAATTTAAATAGCTAATTTTTTCAAATATCTTTTTATCAATCGTTGATATAATTCGCTGGTCAAATCCGCTAACGCTAACTACTGATTGTCAAACAATGACATTGCGAGGTAGTTTCTCACTTCAATTTATTTTGTGATTTAAATACTCTCTTTGTCAGCAAATCCCAAGTAGTTAA